AGTAGAAAGGAGTTCACAGCCTCCAGTGTGTTATCCTATGAGGAGGGTACATCAGAAAATTTAAGTAGGATCCTCAACAAAGCTTTGCGCCACTGACTCTTATAACCGTATATGTAAAAATGATATGCATCTGAAAATTCAGGAATAAATTATCATAATCATTATTATTATTATTATTATTATTATTATTATTATTATTATTATTATTATTATTATTATAATAACTCACTCAGAGATAAGCTTTGTCGGATGGCTTAACGATCCGATAGAACCAATTTAGCAAAATGATCTGATCTATCAAATTCAATATAATGACTGTGAGGTCAAGTATATAAGTGAAACTAGTTGGTCGGGGTCAGTTGGAATAGCGGAATATACGAATTTAGCTTAATATAGAGTGACAGACCCTAATATAATCAATAATCTAGGGCAAAACTCGGCTATTGTAATGCAAGCATTAACACACAACCACACAATAGGATGGGATAAAACCATTGAACTTAATTGAGTTCAATATAATTAGGTGGAGAGAGAGATTGATGACTGAATAATCTTTGTTCATCGAATCAACACCTAACACGTGATAGAAATGATGCAACACCTATACCAGAGATATGGAAAATTTTACTATCAATAGAAACAAAGAATATGAGTTGGGTGACAGGACTATAAAAAGCAGAAGTAGAAAGTAGTGTGTGATTATACTGATATGATTATGAGCAATAATAGTTTATGCTCGAAACGTCAAGTAACTAATACTGTATCACTGTGTGTTATCAATCAAATAAACAAATCTAATATGAAATCAAACTTTGCCATAGTGCCCACGTTTTACACTTATTTTAAGGGATGTGGGTACATCTAACTGATGAGTCCCTAGCAGGACAAAAGGAGCGTCCTATATTCCATTGCTAGTCACCAAGTAGGCTAAAATACTTGTTTCTCTATCCTGGCATATCGCATACAAACGCCTCTAGGCTACCGATCCACCTTTCACGTTAATCTGTAACACATTACATTTTGATTTCATTCCTGTCATCATTTGTTCAATTCTGTTGTCATGTCAACATTTATTGTTTTCGACTTCACTTCATTTTCCTCTCCATTTCGAAATATGCTTTTAAATTCACTTGAAAGTAAAACTATTCCTGTAGATATTATAAGCTTATTAGTTGATGACTGGTAAAAGTGTGACTGCATTCTACCCTTGTCTCAGACAAATTTTAACTGATGACAATGTGTTGTAGTCGAATATCTTACCTAGATTAAAAACCACACATTGTTTGACTTATTGTTCTTAATGACCTAACCCCAGCAGGTCAACTTGTGTTAGTCATCATCATCAAGTTTCTTTACATGGTGTTGTTATGCTAAACTAGAATTAATCGGTTAGGAACAGCATTTTGGATTCAACTAAATTACAAGTTTTTCATGTGCCTGTAATTCGTATTTTGCTTAGTGTAATCAATAAAAATGAGCCAATCATTGATATTTTTATTCAATTTCACAAGTTTTTGTTTCTACTGTATCTATAACTAATGAATAGTGAGTAAAAAAATATATAATACCTGTTATGTTGGTAATTTAGTAATACTATGTGTTAAGCATTTCTTCAAAATATTAAAATATAAACACTCATTTATATCAGATTACGTAGTAAACTAAATAGGGGGTTTAGTTGGTTGTGGCTAGCAGAGGAATCCAGGACGCTTGTTTCGTCTTATTTGGGACTCATCAGCTGGATGTACCTGCACCCCGATGAGTAACGTTGTTCCCACTGAGACTCAAACCTCGTACCCATCGCTCCATAGCATAGTGGGTAACGCCATGGCGTTTGAAGTGATGGGTACGAGGTCTGAGTCTCAGCGGGAACAACATCACTCCGCGCTGGGGTGAAGGTACATCCAGCTGACGAGTCCCAAACAAGACGAAACGCGTGTCCTGGTTTCCTCTGCTAGCCACAACCAACCAAATTACCATAGTTAATATTCAAGCAATATAGAGGCATCCTCATGGGGGCCTATATGTCAATAGAGGTTGAAGAATTTGATCCAACAAAACAACGGAGAATTACAAGTATTTCCAACAAATAGTAGTAAATAGGGGGTTGTTATGAATTTTGTACCCGCTGCGAAAGAGGCGGCTATCGTGACCAAATAGCTTAATGGATAATGCTTTAGCGTTTGAAACGGTGGGTACTGGGTTCGAGTCTCGATGGGAACAGGTACACTCAGCTGACGAGTCCCAAATAAGACTAAAAACGCATCCTGGATTCCTCTGCTAGTCACCAAGATCAGTAGAAGTAAGTACGGGTTTATGCATCAGACTGGTATCTACACCGCTTGTATGAGTACGATTTGATCAACCTGTAAGCCAGTGGTCGAAAGTATACCGTCTGAACTACTCACATGTAGCTATATTTCTTACTATATGGAGTAAAAACCTCAAAGTACGTTTTAGTTCGCGTGATAATTCAAGTGAGAATACTCGAACTTGGCCGGTTTCTTTCGACAACGTTGTGATTTTCCGGAATAAGTACAAATTAAGATGATAAGTTGAACCAAAAATACTTGAATTGTGATTTATAAAAACGCATTGATATGATTAAGATTTCATTCAAGGTTTAACCGTAAGTAGGAAAAAAAAAACTCAAGATAGCCATCCACTTTGTCACCTACATAGGTATTTGTTATACTTGGTGTTCCTTGTGTTATCCCGTCGTTGATTGGACCGAATTGATCAGTTTCTATTGGTTTCTATTGGGCTCCTGTAAGGATGCCTCGATATTACCTGTATTTTCAGTTTTATAATAATAATAGTTAATGGCTAGCAGTGGGATCCAGGATGCGCGTTTTGTCCAATCCGGGACTCGTCAGTTGGATGGATGTACCTTCTTCTCAGTAAGCGATGTAGTACAAGTAACAACATGAAAAATACACCCGTCGCATAAAAAGTGGATACCGTGACTTGTTCACGAAGTGAATAACGCTCTGGCGTTTGATGCGATCGGTCCTGGCCTCAAGTTCTAGTGAGGACTCACCGGGAGGTAGGTACACCCAGCTATCCTGGGTCCCACTGCGAGCCACTACCCATCATTAATATATTGATATCAAAGTATTTGTAAACTTACATCTGATAGTTTCATATTCAACATCCTGGCTGCGATGATTTCTTGTTTTCCAAATTCCTCCACTCAGAGAAACTCTTCTTCTTAGATTTGGTTTCAAATATACATGAGGCTATATCTACATTGGTTTAGGGATTCGACTTTCAGCTAAAGTATGTCACTTCACCTACTAAGGTATTCGAAATCAGGTAGTTATAATCAGCTCTTTAGAATAGGTGTGGCTTATAGTCTTGTGGACAGGTATTCGCATAATTATTTATTTGCATTATAATCTTTTTGTGTGAGATTGAATTAAACTTTCGGCACTGTAGTTCATTGGTCTAGAGAGGAGATAACTTTTAACCAATGGGTCTCGGGTTAGAATACGGCTCCGAGGTCTGTTCATCCAGGGAGTATCATTCTTTCTCATACAATAAGCGTGCCTCGTTGCCCTCCAATGGACGATTGTCCCAGAGGTTGCTAACTAAATTTCGATTTTCTCGATTATCTTTTAATGTTAAATATGAAAAAAATCTGATAACAAACAACCATGAGTTCACATACTTTCAGTGTTCCTATAGAAAATTCCTTATCAGTTCCATTTAAGTCAGTTTTATTAAAAACCAGGAAATAAGGTAACGAAGGTAACGGAGAATTGTAGTTATGCAGGATTTTTATTCATTCATTTATTTTTACAATTAAAGCCTAAAATGAGTATTCAATACTTCTGCGTAATCTGAAGAAGCTAACAATCTTTTGATAGTAACGATGGATAGTGGCTAGCAGTGGAATCCAGGAAGCGCATTCCGTCCTATTTGGGACTCGTCAGCTGGATGTACCTGCCTCCCAGTGAGTGTTCTTCCCACCGGGATTCAGAGTCTCAAGCGATTGCTTCAAACTCCAGAGCGTTATCCACTACGCCACCAAGCCACGATAGAGACCGATCAATTCGCTCCAATCAACGATGGTAAAATACAAGCAGTTATGCTATAATAATCTTTTTATTTAGCGTCAAATTGTCTTCCTGAGTCTTGTGAATTGTATATACAGTAAGCGAGATTGTGTCCCTAGATTTATGCTCAGTATAAAGGTGATGCTCATTACAAGTTTGATATCAATCGATACTACTGAAAGACTGAACTACTGAAATTGACTTCAGTAGTCCAATTGTTAGTATTTTCACGTTTCAGTTCTGGATTTAATAGTTTTGGTTAACTCTGAGAGAGAAGAGGTGAGAATTATGTCTATATGTAAACTGTAAATTGGTCATAAAATAATAAACTGAGAAGTTTACCTTCTAGCATATATGATGTACACTAAAGGTTTTAAAGACACTGTTGAATAAGTTCACTATCCAATTACTTTAAACGTTGGTTTTAGGTTGTCATTCATCATAGACTGACATTAATTGTAGAACCCATTGGAAACCTGTGAGCACTGGACAGCTGTTTCATCCTAGTATGGTACTCCTAATCAGTGCGCACTAATGACCCCACCTCATCAGGGGTCGAACGCAGGACCACCAGGTTCCGTGGCCAGCACGTTACCATTGAGCTGGCCACTGGGTCAGGATGCAGTGGTCCATATTTCATACTTCTGTTAGTTCACGATATAGTGTGACCTACATCCAACGTCTTCATTGAGTAACTGTCCTCATGTTCCACTTGCTTGACTCCACTGATCACGACTTCTCATTAGAACTTCGGGAATCATCTCTCGAAGCTAGTCACCATTGAACGCTAGATTAATTCAATCTAGAAGTTTCCAATGTTCCCTCTAACTGATGTCAGTCAGTCCATGATGAATTCCAACCTAAAATTAATTATTAAACCTCTACAAACTTACAGATAGAATACTTAAAAAGTTGTTTAATTTTTTTGTTTTTGTTTTCTAGAAGGATTTCAAGAACGACAATTAGTCAATTTAATTAGAGAATTGAGAGTTTTAACTTCGTTAAAACAACATCCTTACGTTATTCAATGTTACGGGTTATGCATAGATCAAGGTAGGCAATAGTAGTTTTGTCTAATCAACTGATAGTAATGATCTTTGTAAAATATTTATTCACAGTATGTGCTTTATTTCTACCACTGATGAATACTGACCTTTTCATTCATTTTCTTTTTTGCCTCATGTCTAACCAAATCTAACCAAGTTTGCAATGACAGTTATACATATTATCGTTACTGGAATGTTGTTAGAAGTGAGCAATCATAACGTCATATATTAATGTCTGCCATTTACCTGCCGGGCTACAACTGTTCATTCTCACTTCTGATTGTTACATTTTTAATTTGATGGTGGAAAGGCCTGAGATGTCCGTAATCCGGCTCACATTAGGCTATGGCTTACTGGTTTTCAACCTATGAGTCGTGGGTTCGCACATCACTCCATTTACCGAGGTTTGGGAAGTCAGCTAGTGTAACGAGTGCGTTTCAGTTCGATTCGAATTCTGCATACATACATACATACATACATACATACATACATACATACATACATACATACATACATACATACATACATACATACATACATACATACATACATACATACATACATACATACATACATACATACATACATACATACATACATACATACATACATACATACATACATACATACATACATACATACATACATACATACATACATACATACATACATACATACATACATACATACATACATACATACATACATACATACATACATACATACATACATACATACATACATACATACATACATACATACATACATACATACATACATACATACATACATACATACATACATACATACATACATACATACATACATACATACATACATACATACATACATACATACATACATACATACATACATACATACATACATACATACATACATACATACATACATACATACATACATACATACATACATACATACATACATACATACATACATACATACATACATACATACATACATACATACATACATACATACATACATACATACATACATACATACATACATACATACATACATACATACATACATACATACATACATACATACATACATACATACATACATACATACATACATACATACATACATACATACATACATACATACATACATACATACATACATACATACATACATACATACATACATACATACATACATACATACATACATACATACATACATACATACATACATACATACATACATACATACATACATACATACATACATACATACATACATACATACATACATACATACATACATACATACATACATACATACATACATGCATGCATACATACGTACATACATACATACATACATTATACCGCACTCTCATGTGTGAGTTGGAAACTAAAAAATATAAATCTGTTCCTTAATATTTATATAGTGTTTCCCAAATTCGAAATACAGAGAAAAACCATACTAAGGCTTATATGTGAACAATTTCCGATCATGAAGAAATTGTATAGTCTGTAAAGATTTTGGTAACGTTGTCTACTTCTTAAGTCTGTTGTGTAACTGCTCAAACTTGTCTACTAACATCATTCCCTAAGCCTGTTGAAAAGCCCCTTATTATGAGAACTATTTTTTTACCAGCAGCTAAGTTGTGATAATACTGACCAGTTTAACATTTTATCATGTACATTTTAAGAAGAGCCTAGAATGCTTGAACTAGATTCACCCTAAGTAAGTTGAGTAGTGTTGGGGGGAGGGGAGCAGAGAAAACCGTTTTTTGTTTCATTAAATTGCACACCCAATAACTGGAAATTTGGTGGATAGTTTTAACGAAGTTATTTAAAAATTTTGTAGGATGATCATTTGCAAACAATTTACTAGTTGAACAATTCACGTTAATATTGCTCACAGTTGAGTAGTTTTTCAACTGCCCAACTATATCATCAACAGAGTTTCTGTTGGAAACTACCTGCTAGCCAAGATCACAAGATGTGATTTCTGACACAAAAGTGTCATGAAATATACTACTGTAAACAACTTAAATAGTTAAGGGACCACTCTGGTTGGTCTGTAGATTTCACCAGCCAGATCAATGTTGGCAGGAAGATAGGAACCTTCTGGAAAACTGAAACGAAAACTAAACTTTTGAATAAATTAGTTTATTTTACGTAAGTATTGTGCGTGCATTAAAAGTTTCGATCTATATACAACTTGTTCAGTTGATTTCAGTTTTTCACTTGATGTTGGCATCATAGTTATTTGTAAAATAATTCTCATGAATTAACGTCAGATGATGTTATAAATTCAAAAAAGCTTTAGAATTTCAAACATTGATTCAACGTTCATTTCAAGACTTTCATGATCTTCAAATCAAATTATCTAGGTTACTAGGAAGTGGATAGATAAATTGACTTTACTATCAAAACGTTTTCCTAGCTGGTTGATATACATTAAATAAAAATCAAGAAGTTGAGAACACTGGACAGATGTTTCCTTTCATTTTGAAACTTCTCAGTAGTTTACACTCTGTAGTGAACTAAGCTTAGTAGTACCATCAAACCTGATGATGATGATGTAAAAGCACTTTCAAATCATTAGATTCTCATTAGTCACCATTTGAACTTACGAAATAGTGGAACTGATTTCCTTACTACTCTTTCTTATGAATTCCTGTCTACTATTCAATAAATATACCTGTGGGGTCAACCATTTGGAAGTGAAATGGTGGTGGTTGAATGGTCAACGCGAAACCTAAAAGTCCTGAATTCCATCCGTTGTGGTTTCGTGAGGAGTTTCATGCTGGGATGAAACAGCTGTCCAGTGCCCTCAGCTTTTCATCAGTTGTCCAGCTGATATCAGTCCATGATGAATAGTACCTTAAAAATGAAATCCTCATTTAACCTCTAAATAAATATATGTCCTAAGCATAGGCTTGTGTCCTTTACTGTAAAATGAATAGATTACATATGTAATCCATAAATGGCAACACAGTTCATGTAATTCATGTACTCATGTTTATAAATAAGGGTAATCAATAAGTTCTTAACATACAGATAAGCTTTTAATGACTATATTCTAACCTGAATCCTGAGCATATTATTATACACTTATATAGGTAGCAAAATGTCATAAAAACGTCATACACGTTACGTGATCATTATACTAATTATTTTGAAAAATACTATTAGGGTTTATTTTTCGAAAATAATCTTTCTTCACTCACTGTATAAGCACAGTTATAATAGTAATAATAATAATAATAATAATAATCTACTGTTTAAGTGCACAAAGCAAGTGCCTATTTCTATGATGAACATACAATAAGTTTCCACCTTTTTTCATTTATTCCATTAAGTAATGTTATGTTTATATTACTTTTAAAAAAAAACTGATTTTGTATGCACATTGTTGTGGTAGATACCTTCATGTTTGTTAATGAGCTTCTGAATGTATCTACCCATGTACGATAACTCATTTCAGCTAACTTTAACCATGATAAAAAGAGTAGGGCAGGTTAAATTTTAACTGGCTAGGAGTCTTTGCATTGACCGTGGTTAGTAGTGGCGAATGAAAGACGAAGTACAGAAAGTAACGACAAAAGGAAATGGCGAACATTTTTAACCAGACACGTTTAAAGCCTGGACGAAGAGATTATTGATCGGGTCCTTATAATTCTTCTGCTTCTATCAGCCGCTAAGTGCATTTTTGTACAGTTAGCAATTAGCTATACCTATTGTGTAAGGGCTGCCCAAACCTTGGTAGATACAGTAGAGTTCGACACAGTAACCAGCAGGTTGGAAGTTAAGTGCATAGGTCAATGAGTAGCAGCTTCATATATCAGCAATATCCAGTTGGTGTATTCATTAGTCTGAAGGCAATAATTAACTCTGTCAATCAAGAGGTACTACTACTAGATTACTGAAGGTGCCTTATTCGAACTGACGCATTTCCGTAAAAACCGATAAGAGGTTTGAAAGCGATGACAATCAGTTGTATCCTCCAGAAATGTCTACCATTACTATTCCTTTTCAATTTGTTTTGGAGTTCATAACACTGACTTCGCAAAAATTGAATTGATTTACCGACTAAAAGGTTTCTGGTTTACTCAGTTCACGCAGATGACACTACTTACATAATTCGAAGTCTTCTGAGTATCTTTAGCCAAGACTTTTAAATCTCTGAGATGCGTTTCCCCGTCATAAAAAGGTATGATGCAGTGTAACTATTCTACACTGAAACCTATTTTAGGCTTAGGGAATGAAGTGGTTGAATATATCAACCACGATATGTGTATGTGTTTAGGAAATTGCAGCAGTTCAGATTTTCTTGCTCTCTAACGGAATTGTTCACTAGGAATTCACTGAGGTTGTACCATGCATAATGCAGTTTAGATATAGAACTATCTAACAGAGGTCAAGTGTTCTGAGATGCTTTGTCTAACAGATGAGAGATACACCCGTCAAAAATGCTAGACGTGATCAAGTTACAGCTTGCCAGTTGTGCGTGTCTTCATCACTTTGTCAGATCTCAATGAAACTGCGCAGTCGGATTGGTGTAGATTTCTCAATAATCTAAGCATATCAGTTAAGTAGGTTTCAATCTTTCTGTTCATTTATTTGTTAATCGATGTGAAAGGATCATGCAACTTCACTATGTGACGTAAATTTCATATCTTAAGTATAGGTGAATTTCCACAGCCTTGCATTGGTAAGGATAGCGTGACTTGAAGGATTCTCCTCTACTGATTCCTAGTTGCTAATCTTGAATGCTGTCTTTGATCTAGTGATTATAGTAAAAATTCGATAGAAAGTGCCATGACATTTATGAGCTTATTTACTGTCACGAACTAATCAAAATCTAATTGCTGTTCAAAGCATGTAAAGAAACGTTTTTATCGTTAGATGTCACTTTTATGCCAAATATGGACTTTTCTCTAGTGACTGGTGAATAATTATATAGGAGGAAAACTAAGTAGGAGGGTATTTTCTTCTGAATTGCGTACCAATGTATGGATAA